ATAAATATCAAGGATGTGGCAATGACTTTATCTTGTTAGATAGAAGGAATGCTGGGATAACGATTCAATCAGTTCATATAGCTGAACTATGTGATAGACGGTTCGGTATTGGAGCAGATGGTCTTATGGAATTAATGACTTCGGATGGATATGATTTTGCTATGCGATATTACAATAGTGATGGGAATGAAAGTAGTTTTTGCGGTAATGGAGGCAGATGTGTAGCTCAGTTTGCTAAAGATTTAGGATTAATATCAGGTGATAAAACTCATTTCCTTTTTAAGGATTTACCATATTCGGCGGATTTTTTATCGAATGGAACTATTGCGCTTCAAATGCAAGATGTAGAAGAATTTACTACTAAGGGAAACGATTTTTTCTTCGATACAGGTAGTCCTCATTATATTAGATTTAGGTCAGATATTGATTCTATGGATTTAATCCATTTTGCACGTGAAATTAGATATTCGGCAGATTTCCCAAATGGCATCAACGTCAATGTGGTGGAAGTCCTAAATGAAAATACGATCAAAATGAGAACCTATGAGCGAGGGGTAGAGGATGAAACCTACAGTTGTGGAACAGGCGTCACAGCGGCTGCTATTGCTTCTCACCTTGCGAAATTGACTCAAAAAAATCAGATAATTATAGAGACCAAAGGTGGTAATTTTCAAGTCGAATTTAACGAAAAAGATGGGAAATATTCTGATGTAAAATTGATAGGACCCGCCGTCAAGGTGTTTGAAGGTCATATTGAGATTTAGTTTAACTAGTATTAAACTATAGTCCTAATTCCTTCAAATTTTAATAAAATTCGCCTATATTTGCCTAGCATGATTATTCATATATAAATGGCGACGGACAGTGATAACTATTTATCAAACTATAGACAACAAACTCACCGAGGTAGAGGAAATGAGCAGTGGGTGCTGGGTCAATATTTACCCGCCATTTGATTATAATGCCATCAATGAAATTTCCGAAAAACTAGGAGTATATATAGAATACTTCACCGATGCACTCGATATCGATGAACAATCTAGATATGAAGAGGACGATGACACTAAATTTATCCTTCTAAATATTCCGATTCGGAATGAACAACTGATTAGCAACAAACGCGCTAGTTTTATAACCATACCGATTTCAATTATATTTAAAGATAACATTGTCATCACGACGTCATTGTATAAAAACCCTATTATAGATAGCATTATCACTAAGTCCACTCGAAAAAACCTTTTTCAAGATATTCCGAATTTAGTCCTAAATATATTCGATAGAAACACTGATTTTTTCCATTATTACCTAAAGCAGATCAATATCCGCTTTAATGATATTGAGAAAATTCTAGATACTCAAGCTACCAATAAAGACTTTGTTTCCATATTACAACTCCAAAAATGCCCTCTGATTCATAGACAAGCTCCGTATCTCCGCTAACTAAATTTTTCTTTTGATAAATAGTATAGAATAGGCAAAGAGGTAGAAGACTTAAAACTAACAGGTAACGCCTAGACCAGATTNTGTCATTTCGCTATTCGTATTTCTATTTCCTACCTTGTGTCTTTTCGGTATCTCAACACCTTTATTTATTCGCCTTTTAAACGATGAGGCAGGCTCTTCTGGCAGGACTTCTGGATCCGTCTATGCTATTTCTACCTTAGGAGGTATTATTTCCACATTCGCTTTCGGCTTTTATCTTCTTGAAAAATTCGGTATTACTTGGCCATGCTTTTATCTAGGTATGCTGGTTGTGCTAGCCTGTTGTATTTCTATAATCTGGTCTAGGCGTTACCTGTTAGTTTTAAGTCTTCTACCTCTTTGCCTATTCTATACTATTTATCAAAAGAAAAATTTAGTTAGCGGAGATACGGAGCTTGTCTATGAATCAGAGGGCATTTTTGGACAGATACGGGTTATAGATGCGCCTGTAGAAACCTATCTGCGTGGGCGCCATATTGGGCGGACTTTATATGTAAATAATGTGGGGCAGTCAACTGCTTTTAGAGATCGTTTGGAATATGATAGTTGGGATTGGTCCTATTTTTTTCCAACAGTGGCTAGCGTTACTCCCAAAGGCGGCGATGCACTACTTATGGGGCTAGGCGGAGGCACAATATGGCATCAATATAATCGATTAGGACTCAAGACGGAAGTTGTGGAGCTAGATGAGCGAATTAAGAACACAGCTATTCAATATTTTGGGGTATCTCCTTCTGCGAATATAGTGGTAGATGACGCGAGGCATTTTATCAATACTAGTCGAAAAACCTATGACCTTATCACCTTTGATATGTTTCTCAATGAGACTCCACCAGCGCAGGTATTGAGTATCGAGACTTTTCTCAAAGTAAAAAAAATGCTTAGACCGCAGGGGCTATGGATGATAAATTATTTTGGATATACAGAAGGTACGAAAGGTAAATCGGCTAGGTCTATATTGAAGACCTTGCAGCATGCTGGTTTTCATGTAGAGATCATGGTGACGCCGAGTGAGGATGAATCTAGTAGAAATGTCATTTTTTTAGCTTCTCATAAGCCGATTGATTTTTCTAAAATCAACTATGAAGAAAAAGATTTACCCAAAATAACGGATATAACCAAATATTTTCTACCTCTAAAAGATATAGACACAAATGATGCGGAAATACTGACCGATGAGCGGCCACGATTCGATCATATGTATATTGAGCCATCACTCGATTGGAGAAAAAGAACCATCGAATACCAAATAAAACCTATCTTAGAATCTGAAATAAATTTAATAAAATAGAATTTATGACCAAACTACGTTTTTTGTTTTTATTAGCCTTTATCGAAGGGGCGAGTGTTATGGCTTGCGAATTATTAGGAGCTAAGATGATATCACCCTATTTTGGAAGTTCACTCTATGTATGGGCAGCAGTGCTCGGCATCACATTATTCGGTCTTATGTGCGGCTACTATATAGGCGGCTATATTTCCGAAAAATATAAACGGGAAGATTTGGTCTATTGGATTTTAATCTTGGCAGGAGCATTCCTCGCTATTATGCCCTATACTAGCCAGTGGATTATGTCCAAAAATATTGATATGGATATACGATGGGGTTCTACCCTGTCCCTACTAATATTTATGTTTCCTCCCTTAGTTTTTATGGGTAAGACCTCCCCTGTCATTATCAATATGATCAATACGAAGGTAGATGAAACTGGTAAGAGTGCAGGCTCTGTCTATGCTATTTCCACACTAGGAGGTATTGTGGCTACCTTTTTAGTTGGGTTTTACCTATTGCCTGAATTCGGGATTAAATGGCCTTGTTTTATGTTTGGATTTTTACTTGCTATTTTTCCATTGATTGCGTTGGTTAGATTAAAATCCAACAAAGCCCTTTTTATTTTACTCCCCTTTTTTTTTGCCCTTAAAGGAAATCTAGCTAAGCCAATACATGATAATGCCAATGTGAGTTTATTGGCCGAATCGGAAGGCATTTACGGTCAGGTGAGAGTCTTTGATTTTCCATACTACACAGAGCAGAAAGGAGATAAAATAGCCCGCGGCCTCGTGGTGAATAATACACTGCAATCTATTCTAGATAAAGATAGTCTAGATTATAATCTTTGGGATTGGTCTGTCCTATTTCCCAGTGCGGCTAGCATATATCCTAAAGGTAGCTCTATGCTGCTCATGGGTCTGGGTGGCGGAATGCTCTATCATCAATTTCATCGTTTAGGATTCAACATCGATGTAGTGGAACTAGACGAGCGAATTAAAGATGCGGCAATCAATCATTTTTCTATACCAGCGAATGCACCTATCGTAGTCGACGATGCTCGTCATGTAATTAATACTTCCAAGAAGAAATACGATGTCATTGTCCTTGATTTATTTTTTAATGAAACGCCTCCAGCACAAGTACCCACAATTGAATCTTTTACTAAACTAAAATCCATGCTCAATAAAAATGGCATGGTACTCATGAACTTCTACGGCTTCACCAATGGTGAAAAAGGCCGCGCCGCCCGCTCTGTAATCAAAACCTTTGAAGCTGTAGGATTTCAGACGACACTATTGCCCACACCAGAACCTGAAGAAGGCAGAAACCTCATTATATGCGCTAGTCTTGAAAAGCCAGATTGGTCTAAAATCAGTTATACAGAGCCTTCGCGCTTTCAAATAACACCTGAAAATATTCATCAATTTATCCTCGATAAATCACAACTCAATATGCAAGATGCGGAAATACTAACCGATGAAAAACCTGCTCTAGAGAAGATGTACGCTGATGCTGCCACTGTATGGCGCCGCACTCAGATAGAAATCTGGCTTAAAAATATCATGCAAACGGATATAGATTTAATGAAGTAAGCTTTTTATAACTAAGCATAAATATTCCTCAAATCAGATTACAAACTCCCAAACATCTCTTTGACATATTTCATAGGAGGCGCACCGAAACTGAGTAGTTTATCATTAAATGCTTTGAGGTTGAATTGAGAACCCAATTGTTTTTTCACTTCTTCGCGAAATGTATAGATTTCATTGAAGCCTGTAAAATAAGAACAAAGCTGCACTTGCGTCAATTTTGCTCTGCGCCATTTGCCTTCTGCCTCAGACTTTTCCTGAAAAGCCTCCACTTGCATCAGGTGCATCGCATCTTTTTCACTCATATTTTTACAATGAATACTGTAGTCCAATATAGTATTGCAAACTCCTCTCAAGTGAAATTTATAATACATCAACCACATTTCATCAGACATTTCTGTTTTATTAATGCTCGTATTCTTATCCCAGCCTTCTTCCATCATCATCCGCTCTGCATAAAGTGCCCATCCTTCTATAAAAGCTCCATTCTGCAAAAGATTTTGAATAATAGACGGCGACTTATTCGCATGAATCAACTGCACATAATGACCTGGAATAGCTTCGTGAATATTTAGTATTTGAAGGGTAAACTGATTGTATTCGCGTAAAAAACTCTCAGCAGCTTCTGGAGCATAAAAAGCTAAGCTGCCTACATTGTAATAAGTATTGGCATTTTTTGCATAAGGTCCAGGGCTCGAGATGCTAGCTCCTGCTACACCCGCCATCCAAGCTGGTTCTTTGCGCACAACCAATGGTTTAGAAGCATCCATCGTCACTAAATCTTTTTCTACAATAAACTTAGATAAAATCGGAATTTGTCGTTCGATTTCTGCCTGAAATTCTTCTCGTTTTGCATGATTGATCGCTACTTTATCTATGACCATTTTGATTCGCTTTAAAGAATCTGATTCCATAGGTGTATTCGGTAGATACTTATTCCAAAGGCGCGTAGAAATGGCAAACATTTCTGTCTGTAAGGATTCTTTTCTCTGACTGGCTATTTGATACATCTCATCCGCAGAAAAGGAAGATGCGATATCGAGATTAAATTTTTTCTCATAAAGTTTTTCACCCAATCGAAAGCTCTTAGCCTTGCGCTTACCAGATTCCATTTCAGATTTCAAGTTTTCTAAATGAGCGACAAAACCTTGTATGGATTTGGTCGCAACACCCAGCGAAACAGTATCTGCATTTTTCTTAGTATAAAACTCTCTTATTTCACCGTATTGGAGCATATCAACCGTCCCTGTCAACTGCTGAATAGCCAATGTCGTATGCTCTAAAGTAGGCTCTGTCAAATTCTTTTTTGCAGCTTCAAAATACGCTGGAGCTTTAGCTAAAAATTTATCTAGATTTCCTACGATGGCATTGCTATCGTCTTTGTTCTGAGTAATTTCAAAAAGTGTTCCGCCAAAGTTGTATTGGGAAGCATCCCAGGTGTAGGATTTATATTCATTGATACTATAATCCGTTCCTTCTAGCATATTTTTTATCAATAAATAATCTGTTTTATTCATCGGAGATAAAGAGTCATACATAAATTCATCTAAAGAATCTAAATATCGTTTCGAAAATGCTAAGTCCGATTTTCTCCCTACCTCATCTGGAATAGGCAGTATACTATCATACTTATGATAACCCACACCCGTTGCCCAGTTGGGATATTGCTTCCACATATCATCGACCATGCGCAGTTTGAAGGATTCGAAATCCGAATTTCCTTTTTTAGCTTGCTGACAAGAGAAAAGTGAAACAAGTAATATAAGAATGAAGGCTGAATAAAATGATTTTATCATAAGAATAAATTAGAAAGTAAAAATAAGCCTAAAGACTAATCGACGTCAATTAGTCAAAACGTTATCTTTATCAGGTATGACATTTTCATTTTTTAAAACGGGCTGGGCTAACAATTTAAAAATGACCAGTAAGCCTATTGTATTGAGCACGTGGTACAATCAGCGAGAAGCCAATATCGATGCATGGTCTATCCTTTCAAAAAATGGAAAGGCACTCGATGCGGTCGAAAAAGGTGTGATGAATGCGGAAAATGATATCAATAACTGTTGCGTAGGTCTAGGAGGAAATCCTGATAGATCAGGTATCGTGACCTTAGATGCCTGTATCATGAATGAGAAATTTGAGATAGGTGCAGTAGGTGCTTTGGAGAGAATCAAACATCCTATTTCTGTTGCGCGTGCCATTATGGAAAAGTCTCCTCATGTGATGCTCGTAGGCGCAGGTGCACAAGAGTTTGCATTGGCTCAAGGCTTTGCTCTTGAAGATGGCAAACTGAGCGACCATGCTACCAAAGCTTTTGAGGATTGGAAAAAACGAAATGCTTTTGACCATAAGAATATAGAAAAGAAAAAAGTGGAGTTTATCACCAAGCCAGATAGAGAACAAGAAAAAGGTAAAACTATGAAAGCCGATGAGTTCAATCACGATACGATAGGAATGATAGCCTTAGATAGTTTTGGAAACTTAAGCGGTGCATGTACCACCAGTGGCATGGGATTTAAAATGCGCGGAAGACTAGGAGATTCTCCCATCATCGGTGCTGGACTCTATGTAGATAATGAAGTAGGAGCTGCTGCTGCCACAGGACATGGAGAAGAAGTGATACGTATCTGCGGAAGCCATTTAGTTGTAGAATTTATGCGCCAAGGTCTAAGTCCAGAACTCGCCTGTAAAAAAGCAGTAGAACGAATTTTGAAACGAACACCAAGAAAATTAGAAGATTTACAAATAGGATTCATCGCGCTCAATAAACACGGAGATTTTGGTTCTTATGCCTTACAGAAAGGATTTGACTTTGCTGTGAAGTCGGAGGAATTAGATAATAAGAAGTTTGAGAGTAAGTTTTTGTACAAGTAAAATATGGCTAAGTTTTCAAAAATTTTAGCTTTAATTAAAAGCAAAAAGATTTATTACATGCCTTTTGGATTTGTATTGATTGGAATATTCAGTCTTAGTCCATTGCTTGTCGCTCTTCTTGCTGGATTGATAGGCCAATGTTTAGGTTGCAATATAAATGAAGCTGGAACAGATGATTGCATAAGATTTGGAATTCCATTTGGATTAATTCTTAATCCTCTTGGTGTAATGGGTTGGCTTATGTTAATCACAATACCTTTGGGAATAATGGTATTTGTTGCATGGTTCATTTATTGTATAGTAGTAACTATTCGCACTGAAAGATAACAATTATGAAAAGTTTAAAAATAAAACTTGTGTTTTTTGCTTCTAGCAGTGTCTCTCAAAGAGGAATCTGCTTCTTTTTGTATTTCATCCTCAAAGTCCCTTCTAGAATAAGTAGACGAACAAATTATGTTTACAATCTTTGCTGACCAACATATCTTATATAACCGAGTTTTGCATTAGATACAAAATCTGTAAAAACCATTGAAGTGGAAGCATTTTCATTTACTAACTCAAATTCAAAAACTTCACTCCATTGTGTAAAAAAATTTATATAAAAAGAACCTTCAAGTTTATATCTTCTTTTCTTTGGGTCATTTGTAAGAAATTGCCTGCAATAATACCAATCTAGGCAATATTTACGATCCTTAAACATTCTATCTTCATTATATAATTTAACTTCCTTCATATCAGGTTTTGCTAAATTGTAGAGATTTTCAATGTTTAATATATTATATTGTAGGACTTCTTGAAATGCTGAATCTCTTCCAAAAGGAGATATAAAAACAACATGATTTGTACCAACATATTCTCCACAAGGCCCACTCTTATATGTTTTTAAAATTTTAGAATTATTTTTATTTAAAAATATGGAACGATATGTACCATTAATTTGACAAAAACAAAGACTTATAATAATAACAATTTTTATCATGATATAAATATTAAACTACTTTTCATTTAAGTTATTGTAAAATTTTCGATTTATTCTATTTGTTTAAATTTTCCGCACAATTCTATTATTCCAATCTTCACAAAAAAACAATTCTATTAGGATTTTTCTTTTCATCTGAACTTCTCTAGTGTATCCTAAAATATCGCCCTAGCCTCTACATTCCCACTATGAATCAACTGTGGAGAATTTTCATTTTTACGACCGTTGTAGATAAGATTCAATTGAAGGTATTTGGTTAGTTTCTGACCTATGGTCAAGTTCCAGATATAATTGAGTCCACGAGGGATACCATTGAGCATGGAGAGTTCTATTTGCGGGTTTAAAGTTTGAGCTTCATAATTTTGATTGAGCAAGGTAAATCTAGTCTCGATGATACCGTCATTTTTTCGAGCGAGTTTGAATTCTATATCTCCCTGCTGCGTCACACTGTATTGGTCGCCTGTACTTTTGAATCCATAGTTCGCATTCAGATTGAGTTTTGCATTTCTATGCAGGTAAAAAGAAAATGTATTTTCTACTCCGTTCTCTACGATTTGAAAATTCCTCTCTTGAAAAAACTCAGACGTATTTCTGCGAATTCCATTGGATATTTTTCCAAAATAAGTGAGAAAATAAACCAACTCGACCCTACTCCTAAAGGCATAATTTTGTTGTGTAAATCCCTCGATTCCATTGCTGAGAAGATTGCTACTATTATTGAATAACCACTCTAAATCAAAACCAATTTTACCTTCATTTTTCTGAAAAGAAATTTGCTGAAACATATAGCTTCTTGAGAATATGAGCAAGCTATCACGAAATCCAGCCAAAGGATTAGCATAATCCAAAAAACTAGTTTCACTTTCCGTTCGCACTTTTTTATTTACGTCTAGTCTGAGTTGATAAGACAATTTGGCTATCCATTTTTTCCAATCTTTTTCATTATGCCATTTGGCCTTGGGTTGAATGGACAACTGCTGTGAATAGTTGACTTCATTAGCTGGAATAAAATCAGGCAAGGCGATGAAAAATCGCATATAATTGTTCTCTGTAATTATGGGCGATACATAAGCTTCATTCAATTCAAAGACACCGTTGTTGTTTAAATCGCGCCAGGCATAATTTCCAAAACCATTTGGTGCTTTGACATAAGTCTGCTGAATACGCTGCTCCCGACCAGCCTTGACTTCATATGTGGTGTTGAAGCGAACAAAACCATTGGCGTAATGACTATTGTAATCGATTCTTCCAAGGTAGTTGTGCTGATTTTCTAATGATTGTCCGATACTAGAAAAATTTCTATATTTCAATATATACTTGAAGGATTGGGAATTGGAAAACTCGTGCTGACCATCCAAAGCAAACGTATGCGCTCGAACATTCGGAGGAAGGAAATCAAGACTATCATTGACTTGCTCTGTGCGATAGATGTAGTTGAAATTTAGTGTATGCAAGGCGCTAAACTTATTATTCCAATTGAGGAAATAATTCTGCCATAAAAATCCATTGCGCAGCCAAGTGTTTTCAGTTCTTTTTGTTCTATTCACTTCGTGAAAAAATCCAAGCTCCAGACTTGATTTTTTAGGCATTAAAGCATATCGAATACCACCTTTAGGACGATAAAACATACTGTTCGTGTCTGTCCGCGTCGATGTCATTAAATTATGTAAGGTATAAAACGTCCATCGTCCAGGATTCCATTCTATATCCACGATAGATTGTAATCCGTTAAATGTATTGGGTATATAAAATAGATTGCCTCCTAGTTTTGACCTGAACTGACGACTTGAATAACCTAAGGTAAGCGTTGTCAAAGATTGCTCTGACTGATTGCGAATAGGCAAGTCTAGATTCCAATCACGTTGAAACTCATTATTTCGATATCGAGTTAATGGACTAAAATGCGAAGTCGTATATTCCTGTTCCACCTCTAAACTCAAGCTTTTGAGGCTATCTAGTCTATGAATAGCCTTATGGTTGACTAAAATTCCTATACCTTTATTCTCTCCATTTTGAAGTTCACTAAAGGTATTCAAATCATGACTGGTATAAGAAATTTCAGCTTTAGTAGTTTGTTTGTCATTCCATTTGTATAATCCACCGGTAGTCCATTGCAGATGGGTTTTAGGCGTGGTTATTTTTATCGATGGCTCATAATTTCCCTGCAATACTCCATCCTTTGGAGCGACCCATTGATAAACAGAACCATTGGCAGCTGTAGATTTTAAGATATAATTTCCTCTATTTAACCCCACTTGCGTGAAAATAACTTGATAGACATTTGGACTTTGAAATTCTGCCCATTGAAAAATTGGATAGGTGATGCCTAAGACAGTCGAATCTTTTTTTAGATATAAAATTCGGCTAGCATCCCAACTTTCCACCCTTGTTTCCGCAGATATAATTGCAGAGTCTAGTTGATTCCCGATTTGGCTGAGTCTCTGAACCTGAGCTGGCTTCAACTCTAGATTGATTTGGTTATTTTTATCATCATTCTCTGTAAATACTTGTGAAAAAAGCTCATATTTAGGATGTGATAAATGTGCATTGGCCTCCAATGAGTATCGAAAATAACTGCGATCAGAATACTGAAACTCTATGACGATTCTCAGATCTTTTGTAATAAGGCGGTTGGGAGTAAAGACAATTTCCCCAACATTATAATTGATGGTATAATCATTCTCTATGCCCCGCTTCATAGGGATACCATTGATAAACACTTTTTCTGTCCCTGCTATAATGATGATAAACGTCTCTCCATTATTTCCTGTCAATTTATAAGGGCCTTGATTATTTTCCTCTGCTTGGAATATATTTCTACTAAACGTCCCTCTAGTGAGCGCAGCTCCTGCTCCGAATCGCAAGGTAGACTTCTCCCCTATTGGCACGGCACTCTGATAGCGAATACCCTGCAATTTGCGATCGAATTTCATCATTCTATAATTAGGATCTTCGCTCATATCAAAATCTCCTAATATGATTTTATGACTATCTTTTTTCAACTGGATAAAAATGCGATCAAATTCCTGAATAGAAGCTGAGTTACCCTCGGGCTGAATCGGGATATTCGCATCCGTCATCGTGGCGTTTATTTCTAGACCATTGGCAAGCTTACCATTTATATTGAGGTTAAAACCAGAATTGATAGCAGCATCTTGGCGGCTGCCGACGGTGATACCCCGCACGAAAGAACCACTATATTCTATTTCATTGGCAGAAGCCATCTCCCCTGTATAGGTTATTCCTCCTCCATTATAACCAGAGCTCAAGGAATACGCACCATTTTTTTTCTTACTACTTCGCAGACTCGTGAGTCGAATAGGCAATACTCTATAGGTGACTAAAACAGAATCTTTAAACGATTTGGTGGAAGTGAATGAATTGGTTCTTGTATTGAGATAAAAAAAGGAGGCATCTACAGGTTGACCTCTAAGAATAACAGAAAGGCTACCTGGAATAATTGGCTGGACGTCTAGCACCACCGTATCACTAGGCCAGATCATCTTCTGGCGAAGAGTACTAAGATCAGCTAGACTCTGAGCTAGACTAGACTGATTGAATAATACTAAAAAACTAACAAAGCCAATTAATCTCACTAAAAAAGTATAGTTTCTGTTTGGTTTAAAGTTGAAAAAATCATAGGGTAGTAATAAATACCCTAATTTCTACAAAATTGAGAAAAAATCTAGTATTGAACGAGAAAACAAACAAAAGATTGGAATAGTATTATTTCCTTTCCTTCAATTTCACATATAGCTCCGTCAGCCAAAAGCCAAGAAAAATCCAACCTATCACTGCAGGATAAAAGAATAAGCGCATGACATTGTCCTGTTCATAGACGTTAAAACCAGGATTACCACCATTACCAGGATGCAAAGAATCATTTATCCGAGGTAGAATCCAGATAAAAACCATATAAATTGTAAAGGAGAAAATATTGTAAACGGCCGCTAATTTGGCCTTTTTTATCTCATCTTCCAGACTACCTCTAAGTATGAAGTAGGCTAGATAAGCTAACATACCAATTGCCGCCCCATTTAGCTTAGGATCATTGGTCCAGAAAGCGCCCCAAGTATATTTAGCCCATATCATTCCCGTCAATATTCCTATCACGCCGAACATACTAGCTACCCCAGCACTAATTGAAGCTTTAGTGTCATGAGTTAATCTACCTGTAGAGAGAAATAAAATAGAGTGTACTAAACTATAAATTAATAGGGCCATCATCGTAAACCACATAGGAACGTGATAAAATAAATTGCGGATAGACTCCCTCAGTATATTTCTATTAGGGAAGCTCAGGTGAAATTGCTTTTCTGGAATAATCATTTTATCAATAACGGGCAACCGGTGATCACCAATAACCGTATCAACGAAATAAGCGGAAAAATACCTCAATCCACCCCAGGTCTCTGTGTGGCAAACAAGGTCTAAAACATCCCCTGTTTTGAAATCTTGAAATCGTGTAGGATGAGGGAAAAATAATTGAAATCCATTTTCTGTTTTAGAATATTTTGATGGCTTTAGTATAAGCTGACTAGTATCGCCGAGTGCTGATTTTTTCAAATAGAATTCAGTTACACCTTCTTTGAGTTTAGGTGTAGCTATATCTATAATTAAAGAGGTATCCGCCGTTTTATAATCCAATTTTTCAATATTGGGTGATAGAGGAAGTAAGAGACCACCTAAAAAACTGTAGCCAATCAGAAATAGACAGATTAACTGTAAAATACGTTTATTTAAAAAATTCATTCGCGCCAAATATAAGGATACAAAATTACAGACAATACAACCATAATGAGATTAAAACCTATTAATATGGTGAGGTTTATCCAAAAATTGTCACTGGTGGTAACAAAAAAAGCCTCCTTAGACAATCTAGAAACCAGGGTTATCAAAGGAATGCTCAACGGAAATCCTAAAATAGAAGTCAATACCGCATTATTTTTCAACCCTTTAGAAATAGCGGTAGTCAAGGTAAATAAAATCGCAAATGAACTGCTCCCAAGCAAGATAGAGAGTAAAATCAAACTGAAATTTTCTACTGGACTCCCAAACCATAGTGAAAAAATGAAATAAGTCAAAAGTGATATGAGTACGGCATAGACAGCATGAAAAATCAATCTTGAGATGATAAAATGAGACGGATGAATCACTGTATAATAATAGAGATATAGACCATCAGATTCTTTACTAAACTGCGAGATAAGTTCATTGATAGTTGTAAATAAAATTATAATCCAAAAAATGACATTCCAGTATTTTACCTCCATTTTCACGAGGGCACCTTGGGTATTTAGTAGAAAATATAATAAATAAGTAATAGAAAAAACATAGAGTAATATGCTTAGAAAAGACAGCCGCTGACGAAACTCACGTTGAAAGTCATATTTTAATAAAGCAAAAACCGATGTTAGCAAAACTTAGAGTTCAATTAAGTTACAAATCTAATCTAGAGAAAATAAGTAGTGCTAATTTATTCGCTTTCTAAAACCGAATCTTAGTACCAATAGAAAAACTCGTTGAGAACTGAATTGGCCGTTGCTTTTCAACATTAAACAGAGGGAAATTGCTGGCCTGTGAGACCAAGGCGTTGAGCATAGAAAGGTTAAGTGCTATTTTCTTGGAGAAATAAGCATCGAAATCAAACCCCGCAGTATAACCTAATTGCATACTATTGTATTGTCTCTTATCTACGTCTACACTGACGTATTGTTCATTCATTCCGACGGGCATAGTTCTATTGAATCTATCCAAATAATTTACCTGATAAAAAATAACGTTGCTATATATTAAGCCACCTTTAATTGAAAAAGCTAACGGCAGATATTTAGAGCCCAATGGAATAGAATACCGAGCCATCAATGGAATATCAAGCTGGTCTATATACATTTTACCATTGCGATCATAGGTAGAATAATCTTCTTTAAAACCTAAAATATACTGCCCAAGGCTAATTCCAGACTCTAAACTCCACCGTTTATTAAGTTGATAGCCAAATTGAATTCCTACATTATATCCTAACTCTCCTGAGAAGGTTGCTTTGTCAGAAAAATAATCATTCGTAGGTTTATCCCTATACGTCACCTGAGTATAATTCGTACCCATATATGGCGTGAGGTATAGTTTATTTAGAAATGATAATTTGGGTTCATCTTTTTTAGTTTCTTCATCTGGCTTTAAGGCTAGAGAAGGTATTTCTGGTTTCGTTTCTTTTTCTAATTCCGTGTATCTTGTCCAGTTCTTAGCTGTCTTTTTCTCTGTGCCTGATTCTACACTCGCTAATTTATCGAGGACCGTAATTTAGTCTCGAGAACTACCAATTCCGTCTTCGATGAAATGGATGCCACTTGACTAGGTGCATTAGAACTAACTTCAGTATAAGGAGTCGCACCTTCCTTATTAGTATCTACATATCTATACATAAATGCAGTAAGAAAAATAGAGGCGATAGAAGCCGCTACGAGGGTCATTTTCTGAGACGTAGTAAAGAATGGAGGAATAGTCTTCGCAGTTCGCTCATTAGATAGGGCATAGGAAATCTCTTCCCAAACCTTTTTCGGTGGCTCGGGCTTGAAATTTTGAAACAATTCTCTAAAATCGTTATCTTTCCACATATTATCTATCTAAGTAGACGCAAAAAATGCTCTAATGGTTGTACGGATTTTCTAGGCAGCTCAAATTTTTCCTTAAATTTACGCTGTAAATAGGCTCTAGCTCTAGAAAGCTGGGATTTCGAAGTACCTTCAGAAATATTTAGTTTGCTTGCAATTTCACCATGAGTATAACCATCTATTGCGTATAAATTGAATACCATTCGATATCCTTCCGGGAGTTCTTGAATCATTTTCAACAATTCTTCGACCTCTAATCCCTTTTCTGAATCTATTGCCAAATATGGACTAAATCCAATTTCTTCGACCTGTTCTGTATTGATTTTTTTACGATAATACTCAATAGAAGTATTGGTCACTATTCTTTTCAACCATCCTTCAAAAGAACCTGTATATTGATAGGTATCTAGCTTCGTAAAAATTTTTATAAAACTATCTTGCAGAATATCTTGCGCTTCTTCTTCCTTCTTACTATATCGAAGACAGATTCCATACAAAACGGATGAATAGGTGTCATAAAGCATTTTATGCGCTATAGGATTGCCTTTTAGACAAGCCTCAATGAGCTCTTTATCAGTCCAGTTGCGACTCATTCTAGAATTTTTTCTAAAGCCATCCCTCTTGAACCCTTAATTAAAATAGTATCCTTTCCAAATGTTTGCTGCTTATACCATTTTTTTGCTTCCTCTGTAGCTTCAAAATATAGGATTGTTTTTGAAGATATTACCTCAGAAAATTCTCTACCGACAGCTACTATTGTATTAATATTTAGTTTTAAAGCTAAATCTAAAATCTTTCTATGTTCTTCTTCACTATAGTCTCCCAACTCCTTCATAGCGCCCAGAATAGCTATTCGTTTACCTTCAAATTTTGATAAATTTACTAAGGCCACTTCCATACTAGATGGATTGGCATTATAGGCATCTAGTATAATGGTTGTATTTCCGCTCTTGACGATTTGAGAACGACTATTTGATGGTTGATATGATTCTAACGCCTGCACTATCTTCACGGCGTCTATTTCGAAATAACGACCAATAGTAAACGCTAATAGTATATTGTACAAATTATAGTCTCCTGTTAGTTGAGTGCGGATTAAGTAGGTATTATCATCTTCATGAATGGATACAGATAAACTATCGGTAGTATGGTTTGCGATTTTGCCATAAATAGGCAAATCTGAATTCGTACCATATGGAATTTGTACTAAATTAGCTGTCTGCTTCGTCAAAATTGGGTCATCCGCATTAATAAAAATTTTGCTATTCTGATGATTATCCAAATATCGAAACAATTCTGTTTTACCTTTAATTACGCCTTCTATTCCGCCAAATCCTTCTAAATGAGCCTTACCAATATTGGTTATTACCCCAAAATTAGGTTCGGTATACTCGCAATAAGAGGCAATTTCTCCTTGGTGATTGGCTCCCATTTCTACAATAGAAATGTCTTCGTATGCTTTTATATCCAAAAGTGTTAATGGAATACCTATATGATTGTTTAAATTGCCTTTTGTGCAGGCTACTTTAAACTTGCTTGAGAGCACCTCGCGGATGAGCTCTTTGGATGTCGTTTTTCCATTACTCCCTGTAATGGCTATGACGGGTATATTGAGTTTACGTCTATGATACAATGCTAACTGCTGCAAAGTACTCAAAACATCTTCAACCAAAATAATACCTGGGTTGCCATCTAGAGATACATCATCTACCACTGCATATTTGGCACCCTGCTTTAAGGCTTCTCGAGCAAATTTATTCCCATCAAAATTAGCACCTTTTAGAGCAAAATAAATTTGACCTTGCTCTATCTTACGTGTATCTGTTGTTATTTTTTGCCCTTGGGCCAAAAAAACAATGTAGAGCTTCTCTATAGTCATGATTTAGTATTACAAAAAAAGCCCTCGCTGTGAGCGAGAGCTTTTATATTGCTGTTAGACAATTTATTTTTTCTTCTTGAATATATTTCCAGAAGGAAACTTGTTTCCTAACGGAGCTCCCATTCTATCCATAGCACATCTGAATCCTATATCATCAGCAGCTTCGTATTCTTGGTAGAATCTTCTAGTACCTGGTGATAACCAATACACACGGTCTTTCCATGATCCACCTTTATATACTCTAGATTGGTCATTTACTAATGATGATTTTCCATAGCCATATATTACATTAGACTCCTTATCTTGGTCACCATAGTTTCTTACATCTGCTTTTCTATAATTTCTTCTAGCCGCAGCTTCTTCTTCCTTTATGTCTCTGAATTGAAGTCTTCCTAAGGAATCTTTCTCAGCTAATTCGCCATCCTCACCTCTTAATTTAGTCTTATAAATATTACCACGGAAAGAATTGAAATCTACAGCATCTGTCATCGTCATTGGTCTGTATACATCCATACACCACTCATTTACGTTACCTGCCATATTAAACAATCCAAAATCATTTGGATAATTAGACTTGACTTCTGAAGTGATAGCACCATTATCATTTAAATTAGGAGCTAAACCCATATTATCACCTCTTCCTCTCTTAAAATTCGCTAAGAATTTACCTTGTAATTTTCCAGTTTTTGGATAACGAATACTATGTCCATTCCAAGGATAGATTTTTTGCTCTGTGATACGCTCTTCATCTTTGTATGGCTGATTTCCAACCAATGAATACGCAGCATATTCCCATTCTGCTTCTGTAGGTAACCTATAATCTGGCTGTAAAATACCATCTTCAAATCTTACTGGTCTTGTAGATTTTCCGCCTGCTTGAATATCTTTCATTTGCTTTTTCTGATCACCAGCTGTAGGCTCATATTGACCTACTAAATAAGCTTGTGTATTAAAATTATTATCATCTACATCAGATGAAGGATCAAATTTAACAATTCCTTTCGTTACTAAAATCTGCTCATTCACTCTATCACTTCTCCACTTAGCGAAATCATTAGCTTGTAGCCAAGAAACACCAACTACTGGATAGTTATCAAATGAAGGATGTCTATAATAATATTCTACATACGGTTCATTATAGGCCAACTCATCTCTCCAAACTAAGGTATCTGGTAATGCTCTCTGCACTACTTGTGGAAAACCCTCTCCAAAAACTCTATTTAACCAATATACATATTCACGATATTGCATATTAGAAACTTCAGTTTGGTCCATGTAGAAAGAAGGTACGGTCACTCTTCGTGCTACGTTATTCCAATCACGCATGACATCCTCGTCTTTCTGACCCATAAGATAGGTCCCGCCAGGAACCAGAACTAGTCCTGGAGAAGTCGCTTGACCTGCATATTGTGTTTTTTCAAATCCGCCGTTTTTGGTATCATTGTAGTTCCAGCCAGTGGTTTCAGACTTTCCTGCCTTTGAACTACTTTTCTTACATGAAGTAAAGACTCCAAAAAAGAAGGTACCAACTACTAAATAAACAAAAAGTTTTTTCATGTGTTTGCTATTTATTTGATTTTATTATTCTATTTTAATCTTCCAAATTTGACAGTTTGAACTCTCAAAACTTGAAATTTTTAATTTAATTATCTGATTCAGTTCGCTAAGATAACGTATTTTTTAATATTTATTGTACATTTTTTTAGTTTTTCATGAAATCGGGACAAAAAAGTATGTTTTTATACTCATTAGGATAGAGTGAATTATCTTCCCCATTGAACAAAATTCTAATCCCAACTTCATGAGAACCACCTGTATATGATTTAATCCCACTAGTATTTAAGTCATATGAATAACTAATTCTAAGTTTATTGAAATTAAATCCAGCCAAAAAAATAATTGACTCAATATCTCGCGCATTATGACGAAGACCTAATCCCAGGTTTAAAGACTCGTACTGATAAAGAATATTTCCTACATATTTATGATAACTATACTGTCTATCAAATAAAAAATATGGAAATAGGGCAATTTTTTTATCTCGATTCATCCAATATACACCACCCATCTGGGCAGAAATAGTCATATCCTCAAATTGCTTGGATGCTATACCCTCGAAGTTGTTTCGCGGCAAGAGATTACGAGCACTTAAACCTGCATAAAAGTAATTTGTAAAATAAACGATTCCCGCGTTTATATTGAAATTCGTTTGAGAAAAACTATTTGATAAA